TTGATTCATATCTAAACAGTTCGAATATGAGCACAAGATGACGTAAAAGTACTTTGTGTTTACTGCAATGAACTGTCCAACATGCATGACATGCATGTGTCTGTGTAAACTGCATGAGAAATTAACCAGAGAATTCTCAGTCAGCTGGGATATCTATCATGATATTACATCACCTCAAAATCTCCAAACACATGGTAACTATAGTTTATACTGGAGCTCAGGGGCTTCCCAATTGCCCTGTGGACCACTGTTTGTTTTTTTATGACAGGGTTGCAAGCCGTGCACAATGCAAATGATGCTTGCAGAGTTCTATTCCCACAAAAGAAAGATACAGTAGTGCAAAACTCTATGGGATCCCCACAGGAAGCATTTCCCTTCATTGTGTCTCTGTATACTGGCCACGAGGAATCCCCTGGGAGTGTTCAGACACCAGCTCGTGCTCTATCGAGTTTATCCTGCTCTCTTTTTTTTTTGACTTCACCACGACTCTTTATCTCCCTGTGAGGCACTCACCACCCTTTTTCCTTCAACTACCCCAAGCACATGCAGCCACACACGGTGTCCAGATCTCCAGCATATCACCTAAGGGACAGCGGGAGAATTATGGAGAAATCTCATTAAGAAAGCATTCAGCCTTAGGAAATTAACCCTTCTGTGTGTGTGATATAGAGAGAGAGAGTGAAAAAAAAACACATATGCTGGTGATGACTAGGGTCAACTATGACTAACTTAGACCACACATCTTAAACATGAAACAGCATTGTTTTAGAACAAACTAATCAGAGTAAGACGATCTTAGCTTTTCAATCAGTCTGATATTAAATAAACACACCTGCAGTATGTTGCTAAAATCCACAAGATATGAGGGACTAAATCTCAAATGATATGCATTTTTAGGCATAAACTAAGTTATGCACAGTGTGCACAGTGCAGATTTCATCATCAGCATATGTTCTTGTACAGTTGAAAAAGAAACCAATAGGACAGTTCAACGACAACTACAAACTACTTGAGACGGCAATAACATCACATGCCCGTGTTGATGATCGCTTGTGATGAAGAGATACCTGCAAACTACACATGAACAAAAACAATTTGATCAAACTAATTTTTACACAGGTTTAATGTCTCGAGACATAAAAACTGATTTTGGAATGAAAGTACTCTCAACTTGTGAAAAAGCAAAAACTAAGAAAATGGCAGAAAAGCTGCATTTATTTGATCAAAAATACAGTAAAAACATTAATATTGTGAAATATTACAACAAATTAAAATAACAGTTTTCTATTTTAATATATGTTAAAAAAATAATTCCTGTGATGGCAAATATGCTTATTAGGCACAAGAAACATTTCTTATTTTTATCAGTGCAGAAAAAAATGCTGCTTAATACTTTTTCCATATTCTTTCATGAACAGAAATATTTCAAACAGAAATCTTTTGAAAATCTTTTAAACGGTGTTTATTTCAAACAGAAATCTTTTGAAACATTATACATGTCTTTAACTGTCACTGATCAATTCAATGTATCCTAAATAGAAAAAATATATATTCATTTCTTAAAACAAACAAAAAAACTCTACATTTGTAATGAGGTGCAAATTATTTCTCAGCAAACACCCAAAGATTTGTATTAAATTCAAACCGAATGCCCAAAACTGGCATCTGTTCTCTCCACATTTGCAGCAAAAAATACAAAAGATAATGTAGTCAAACTTGTTTCCCATGAAGTTGCCAGTATGAACTACTTCTCATATTTCTTTTTTTTAATATCTTCTTTCTGAAATCAACTTTTTTTCTACATCAAAAGTCTTTAACGTCTGAACTGAGGAGATCAAATGGACCCGCATCTAGGGCCCCTTTACACCAGATGTTAACATACATTAGCATGAGGATATTGTTTAGCTGGACAACTTTTACACGTTACACCAGATCTGAAAGACTACTTACAAAAATTTACATAAAAACATTTGTAACTTCTGTCACTGTCTGTAACAAAAAAAAATGTGGTTTCAGTGATCTGAACACACTCTGATCACAATAGATGTGATACATCTATTACACCAGCATGTATGTGGTCAAGTGCAATCTGATTGTGATGCAATCCCTAAAAATGTCTTATTCACTCTAAAGTAAATGGTTCCCATTACAAAAATGCACTCAGTGCTTGCGTATACATGTATACAACACCAAACATGACTGTATTGTGCTTTCTGAACCCAAAGGGTGACCTTAAATGCCAGTTTAAGAGAACGGGGACAACTGCTCCTCTGGGAATCGCAGCATAACCCTTTATTTGGCAACAGTGCGCTTCTGAAACCTCCACTACTTTCTTCCCTTTTTCGCCTCTTTATGCGGCTGTCAGGCAACCAGAAACTGCCAGGCACCGGTAAAGTCAGATGAAGCCATTTTGATTGACAGGCAGAATTGCAGTACAAGAGTCCTGCGGCTTATTTCTTCGATGAAACTACTACTATTATGTAGCAGTGAGTAACAGGTTTCCAAGACTCCGGTCCCGCGCGACTGTTCTCAGGGAGGAATTCCCAGCAGCAGGCATCAGTAAATGCATGCCGGGTAAATGTCACATACCCTTGGGGGCCGACTTTCCTCGAATGAAGGAGCTTGCTTTGATTAGACCCACTGCGTTTCGGGTTGAATAACAGAAGTAACCCTCTAACAAAAAAAAACACAAACTATTGCATCTGTGTTGAAATGGAAAACAGACAGGGAGGCTGAGATGGTGCTAAAATAATGGCAAACATAAACAGAGAAAAAAGCTAAATAAAATTAAACATTAACACCCCCACCCTTTTTATAATCTCTTCCTTTCTTACAAAGCTTCCAGCTTCACTCACTTTTTCCTAATAAAAGGGAAGTAACTCACTTGCCGTGGAGGAAGCCACCCCTTTGCCCCATAGTGGCAGTTTACGTCATCGGTTAAACTACAGCGTACAGAGTCAAGAGAAACTCTTCCAGCATTCCATCACTAACAGCAGGGCGGATTGGTGACCTGCAGCGTGAAGTTCACGGCAGGTAGGAGGAAACCCATCCCAGCCTAAACTCTTCCTGCCTGACTGATTAGAGGTGTGCTTACCCTCCTGGCCTGCACCTACAGGACATTTCCACTGCAATGGAGTCAGTGGTTGCAAAGATGACGAAATGTGTGTTTGCTTAGATGAACAGTTAGAGGCAATGGCAGCAAATCAAATGAACTATGCAAGAAAGGCAGGCTCACTTACAAGTTCAAAGGAACATACCATAAGTTTGTTTGACAGTAAAACGACTAGACCCGAAGACTGCATTTATGTAACACCTGCAGTCAAATATCAGACACAGGAGTTGACCTTTTCTGAGAATTTCTCACTTCACTGGAAGTGACAGGAATGTCTTTATATATCTCTTTCCCACACAAGTCTAGAGATTGTGTTTGCAAGCCAATTTTAATGTTAACAGTGTGTTTGTACATTGCAAAAAAAATATTTTTCTTATCTAGGAAGGAAAATGACTGGAAAGATAAAGGTCTAAATCTTGTTTTCGGTTTGAATTAAGTTTATTTTTCTTACTCCAAGCATAACTTGACTTCATTTTGATACAATTTTCATAAAACAAAATTTAATATCTTAAGTCATTTTGATTCTCAAGTAAATGTATCTTGATTTTAAAATGTTTTGGTATTTGTACTGTGGAAAAAAACGAAAATACGGAGTAAGAAATTTGAATTTTTGCAGTGTATTATCTTTCCTCATTTGTCAGTTTATTAAAAAGCATCTGTTGAATGAATATAGCTGATGCATAAAAAATCTTTTAAAAAACAAATTTCAGGTTAAAATGTTTATATATGTATAAGGGGAAATGTCCTATAACTGGTAAATACAGTTTATCACCATTTTTCTTCCGATTTCATCTTCACTATAGCTCATTTTATGAGGGATAGTTCATCCAAAAACTTAAATTCTGTCTTCATTTACACACCCTCATGCTGCTCCAAATCTGTATGTTTTTTAATCTGTGGCATATTAAAGAAGACCTTAAAGAAGTGTTTTTGTATATACAGTGGAAGTCAATGGTCACCAAAACTGTTCTTCAAAATATCACCTTTTGTGTTCTGCATAAGAAAATCAGTCATGCAAGTTCAAAATGACATGAGGGGAAAAAAAGTTTGAGGTGAACGTTTCCTTTAAATAGTCCAGTGATACGACAAATACAACTGTAATGTAGATAAGTAGAACAATACATAGCAAGTAGTCTCAATTCATACATAATTGCAAATACTGCATGCATAACTGCAAAAATAAAATAAACAGAGCACACACGATTTCACAAAGCTGTTAAACACATAGTTTTATCTTAGTAGACGACTTTCTGCTGATTTTCATATTGATTTTTCATACTCACAGATTTGTCAGACTCGCTCTATGTGATTCAGTGTGTACCCGTGTGAATGGGTGCGTGTGCGCACGCGAGCGCGGAGATTCCCCTGCTGCAACCATGGAGACGTAGCGTCACCCAGAGCAACAGAGAGGGAAGAAAAATAATGCGTAAAAATTAGATTAGAATAAAATGTCAGTATTTATACTAATACATATTTATTGTTTTGAGTCACATATTAATTCTAAACAATAAAAGACACATTTATGTGAGTAAATCTGATAATGTGATAAGAGAGTTAACAGAAATTCCTTTCATATTTGCGAGTTTTTAAAGTTATAATAATTGAAATGTATATATTGAATTTAGTTCAAATGTAGTAATTAAGTATAATCATATTCATAACAATAAATACAGGTTCTACTCTCATGCCGAGCTAATGATTAGGCTAAATCATGAAATACTACTAATATTGCGCCATCTAGCGTGCAATGATGAAAATATGTCAGTGGGTCATGTGGAACTTATCTAATTCATCTATTCACGTAAAATGTTGCTTACTTTAACCGTGTCATCTTCTACATACATTTTCGCATATGACATATGGAATTATAAATAACATTAATTCCGAAATGCCCAAAAGAACAGTAGGCCTACCCAGGTGTGCTGCAAAATAATAACGTACAATGAGATTTAACTTTAAATTTAATTTAACTTCTTTAGTAGGCTATGGCATCATATTCATCATCTTTAAATATAAGGTTAAGTACACTGTCTGGTTCAGAATTTATGCAGGTCAATGCCTATTCCAATCACATATGTCCAGTAACAGATGGATAGTCCACGTCGGTTGTGACCTTTGGAGGAAATAGTAGGCTATTGTTTGAGTTAAATGATAACAATAGGATAAACATTTTTGGAATAACCCCCCCAAAATTTTTATTACTTGCACTGGCTCTTCAGAACTTCCATTCAATCTCAATTAAAACGCGTTAAATAATTGAGAGTTAAGAGGATATTGGCAAACAATTAACAGTGGGACATTAACAATATAAAACAAGCCTGCAATTGAAGAGTCAGTGATTGTTGAAAAAGCTTTATGCAGGCGATGCCTGAACCTTTCTGCATCGTGGATATGGGCGATGAATTTGTTATTTTAATTGTGTCAATTTTAAAACACGTTACAGACATGGTTATAGAATGTCTCTTTTCATTCTTTATTGTACGTAACTGTATGGATTTTTGCATAAATAAAGTGTAATTACATCAATGATTTTATTTTGTGAAGTTTTTAATCTTTCTGTATAAGACCAATTTAATTTTAAATCAGGCGAGTCTGTGTCGCAAACACAAGCTATATGACAGACATTTGGGTTTTACAGAGCATGAAATAGCGGTCTCCCGTTTTTCCTGGAATTCTCCCGTATTTTACCATTCTATCCCGGTATCACCCCGTTTAAATATTTTCCCGTATTTCTAATCTTTATATAAAAAATTAAACCTGCAAATTAATTCTCAATATGTTATTATTGACTGTTTTGTCACTTTAATATTAACGTTTACTAATGTTGTAGGAGGAGATACAGAACAATCACGAACTGATCGCAACCTTCCATCATCTCATTACAAACAACATTAACCAGTCCAACCTGCAGCAGTTTGTCAAGTCCTACAAAAGGTATCACCAATGCAATCTGTATCTGTAATCGCTCAGTTCCTGAGTTTGATTCTTTAAATGAACCTATAGGACCTATATACTGTATTAAATGTACTGCAATGAGTTACTGAAAGCCTCATCTTTCCATCATTTCTCAGCCGAAGGAATCTGGAGATCGAGAGACCAGTACAAGGAGGAAATGTAAATGCAAGAATGCTCCAGTAAGTTCCACCTGATGACAGCAAACATATGAGATTTTGACTACTAGTGCCTTAAACCTTAAAATTGTGCTTCAATGACTAAATTGTGTCATCATGACAGGTGTCCAGCTTTGCTGATAGTGGGTGATAACTCTCCAGCTGTGGATGCTGTGGTGAGAACTACTATTTTGTTATTTTCTTAAATATGTTAAGAGACCCCCGTAGAAATGTAATGTTACTCAACAGTGATTGGTTGCAACAACTTTCCAATTATTGACTATAAACCATAAATAATTTTGAACTAAAGCAGCATACAAAACATTAATAGAATTATTATATAAATATTTTACCTCACAGGTTGACAGCAACTCCAGAATGAACCCAACAACAACCACATTTCTCAAGGTCAGTGTCCTTACCGTCCTTTGCATTCACTCAAACACACAATTAACTTTTACATTTAAAATACTAATAGAAGCTAATTTTATATCCCAACATTTCACTGTTATCTCATTTGATGAATACCTAATATGAATAAAATAATATAACTGATATGAGACAGATATTTTGCACATCCTTCGTTTTTAAACTATATTTAAATTTTTTTCTAGATGGCTGACTGTGGCGGCCTGCCTCAGGTTGATCAGGTATATATAATTCACATTTACAGATTCACATTCAAATCTGCATTTTTAATCTAGATCATATATTTGATCTTATAGTCATTATGAGTATATTTACACTACATGTTCATGTTCTTTCACAGCCTGGCAAGCTTATAGAAGCTTTCAAGTATTTTATCCAGGGCATGGGCTACAGTAAGCACACATTATTTTAACACTACAACAATACTGACCTACTATCCATAAAATAACAACAATTAATAGTCATTTTACATTTTATATGAGAGAAAACCATGGTCATACCCTCTCTTATCACTTACTCTTTCTTGTCCACAGTGCCCTCTGCCAGTATGACCCGTCTTGCTCGGTCTCGCACGGTCAGTAACTCATCTCTGGAGCGAAACCGTACACGCAGCGGTACAAACACGGATGAGCAGCGTGGACGCTCCCACACCGACGTCTCCATGGAGAGCACCCCTGGTGCAGAGCACGGTTCCTCAGGCCCCACACATTGCGTCGAGCTGTCCTGCTGAACGCCTCATGAAAATAACACCACCGTGCAAATCAGAATGGAACTCAGCAGGCGGTTTGATACTGGACCTGAAATTATAGAATTTGAACCTGAAAGCTGATGCTCCTGTTATTAGATAATGTTTAATATGTCATTGGTATTTTTCACAAGGGATGTTTGATTAGAGAGGGCCCTCACAGCAAACAAATGTTGCACGTACTTAATAGACTTTGCACTAGTTTAAAATATCTGAACCAGTGGTTTAAATCGCCGTTTTATTTAACAATATGTAATATTTTACAATTCAAGTTTTATATAATTATGTTAAGAAGGTTCTATGATGTTTACAGCTTGGCTGTGAGAAAATGTATAATATATAGCCTATGTGTGTACCTTAAAATGCGGAGTGAGTATGTGCGTGATTGTGTTGGAGAGTTCTCTTATAGGAATGAATGTTTGGGGGATTTGTTTAAATACATTACGTATTGCATATCATTTCTGTACTTTTAATTCCTAACAGTAGTGTAAAATTGACATCTGAGAGTATTTCTTAGTCTGACAATATAGTCTACAGAACATTTGATATAGTATCTGAATCATTTCTTGTGCTTCTTACAGTCACATCTTATATTAATGAACAAGGAAGATAGGAATGTTGGTAAGATCACTTTATATTTAACAACTGTATTCCTAAAATAAAATTAAGTATATTCAGTCAGCCTCATTGCTGTAGCCTATAATGTCTAACACTGTGAAAAATTATAAATACATACAATGTAACTATGTAATTAATTCCCAACTATACCATTACAGAAATAAATACTCAACAGAAATAAAAATATACAAGCAAAAGCATAAAAATAAGCAAATGTCTTTTATTAAAAAAGATACATTTCTGCATATTTTCAGAATTAAATATGAACAGTAACAACTTGGCAAAATGAAAGTGTGAATATCAAGTGTCACTTCTCTTATATGTATTTCAGAATATGTTACATAACAAAGATACAAACACGTCCTTTAACACCATTTTAACTAACATATATTTTCAAAAACTGATGATGTGTATTCCTTTAAGGAGAATTCCTTTTTTCGTTGAAGGCGGTATTTTTTAAACATATATTTGCAAAATATAAAAACAGATTTTTGGACTTCACAGATTTGGAACAGGAAGTCAACATCTCAAATTTAACATTTTCTTAATTTCATATTTTGTCCCTCATCCATCCATCCTTATAAAAATATAAAGTCCTTCAGTCTGAACTATTATTGTTCCCTTCACAAGCCATCTCTATGAGTAACTGTGCTGATGTTTATTCATAAATCATCCGAATTCAATCCAAATTTCTCATCAACAGTGCTTTCTGTGCTCTCCAGCATCCCTGTTACTGTCAAGTGTGATGCACAGACTACAAATGTGAGCCTAAGGATGCCATAAAACGAGATTGTATCTGGCACTCTGTGAATTAGTTAGTTAACAATCTCATTGACCTCATAGTATTGCTCGAGATCTGCAAAGATATCATTTGGATTCCTGCAGGAGAGGTTGCAGAAGCAGGCGTTGATCCACATGTATTTCCAGGAAAAAACTGATCCATTTGGACACACAAACTCCACCTCTATGGTCTTAGACTTGTATGGGATGCAGCAGCGCTCATCGGTACAGACTCCACAGTACTTGGGCCAATATGCCTTCTTACTGACACACCCCGAGATGGTGAAGTTCTGAAACTCTGGCTCACGGTAGATGTTCAGGCATTTCTTACCCGGCTGAGTAACAGATATGACAATCAGTGCATCAGTCCACGACAATGACATGATAATTCATCCATCCATCCATGGGATGGGTGGGCAAATGAAATAGAAATAAACCAGGGTAGGAATTCATTCTTACTCTAAAGTGCTTGGTGATGTCCACCTCACAGGGTCGGAGGTTACACAGTCGAGACTCTTTCTCCATCACACAGCCAGCATTGTTATTAGAGATGCGCTGTGATATGCCCCGCCCACATGTCTTTGAGCAGAGACTCCATGGGGTAGTCTGGGTAATGCAATTTTTATGCCAAATATCATTAGAGGTGAGGGACACTGAAAAAAAGAAGTAAGAAGGATGATTAGGAGCTAAAACAATGGAAGTTCACCAGAAGAAGCTATAGACCTCTGATGGACATTTATCACCACACAAAACAATAATGCATAACTCACCCTCCTCAGGAGCGTGTCTGGGGTTGGTCTTGCGTGGTTTACGGGACTCTTCGCAGATCCATTTCTCGCAACACTGGCCTGGGATCTTGACTCGCTTGGGCGACTGACACCAGACCCGGGGCGGCAGGGACTCGGTGCAGAGCGACACACATCCAATCGCCCCATTCACACATAGACAACGGTACTTACAATTGGGCTGGAAGCTTTGGCCATTACGGTAAATCACACCGTTATACTCACAACCTGTTCCCACAACATCTAAAACACAGAGAAGTCTGGATATTTGTCCTTACAACTAAAAGGTTCTGTGACAGTTTTGTGTCTGAGTACCAATTTGACACAGAATAAGAAAAAAATACATATTGCATGCCTGTTGGAACCAAACACTATTGTAGTAGTGTAAGTAGTATATACAAAATGCAAAACTGACTTTCTCTAGTGGCTTATATGCATATGCATTAATATGAATAATATTCTAGTTGTTTTATTTGCATTATATTAGGAAATTCAACTGCAAAATAAATGTTTCTTTATATAGTATTTTAACTATGTCACTGTAAAGCAGGGGTCACCAGACTCGGTCCTGGAGGGCCACTGTCCTGCAGAGTTTAGCTTCAACTTGCCTCAACACACCTGCCTGGAAGTTTCAAGTATACCTAGCAAGACCTTGATGAGCTAGTTCAGGTGTGTTTGATTAGGGTTGGAGCTAAACTCTGCAGGACACTGGCCCTCCAGGAACAAGTTTGGTGACCCCTGCTATAAAGGAATACGTAAGGTCACTTACATGCACACACTCCTTTTTCGTACCTCGGCTTGTCAGCACTGTAGTCACAGTAAAGTCCTTTATGATAGTCACAGGTATCTCTCTCATTGCAGGTCTCCCCCACCTGCTTGGCACAAGCCTTGCAGCAGTCACATCCATCTGTCAACAAGCTGACCCCATGTGGGCAAACAGGGGCACTCTTGGGGCACTTACAGGGCCATTTGCAGTATCGATTTCTATTATAAGGGTCCAAATCTGTGGTCACAAGAGGAGAGTCTGTGGAGTTGTGGGAACAGGCCTGTGTGGGAGAAAAGAGAAGAACATGAAGAAGATATGCCAACTTTAGCCACTCTGGGGCAATAGAGAGTTTGCTTTGAAATTACATTGAAATTGGGCCCTTCAAATAGGCTCCCAAGAACTTTGCAGAGGATGCTTCGTATTAGTTTCTAATGATCAACAGCACAGGATCACTTTTACACTGTGACACAGAATTAGGCTACTGTTTTCCAAAACTGATGGCTAATTTGAATATATATACCATACCAACAGAGCGAAATGCAACATTACTGTGACACAATATTTAGATTTTTAGAAATCAAGCACTGCCTGTGGTATCGTATCGCCTACAACAGCTAGTTTTAGAGTCTCATGCGATTTCTCGCTCCATCAGACCGGGTTTCTTTCTACTACAGTGGATGTAATGTAAAAAACCTGGAGTGAACTACACCGGATTGCAGAAGAGGATACGTGGCTCTGCAGATCCGCTCCACTCATATGCGTAGCTCCAGTCCGGAGTTTCAGTCTGTGTGAATCGCTTCATTCTGATAAGCAACGCTTGAAGCTTATTTTCGTTGGCGGAGAAGAAATTCACACATTTACAGAAAGCTTTTGTGTAAGGCATAATCTATTGTTAATATTAATAAATTGACAATTGATATTCAGATATCAATTGTCACAGCACTTTTGCTAGTGTGATGAATGTAACCAAATGTGGTAAAAGATGATAAAATACAAAGATAATAATAAAAATATAATTCATAACATATAAATGGTGTTCTATTAGACATTATGTATTACAATATAGGCTACAGGTCGCCTCCTAAACTTGATGCAACATTTCCGCTGCAAGAGCATTAACTGAAAAATGGCACATAATGCACCAACAGACAGGTTATGTATTTGCTTTATTATCATCATGACAAATCAAACAGTCACTTTCCGTTTTAAAAACATTATCGTGTAGGTTTCTCTTTATGCATTTTTGGGGTTGTAATCAGTGTTGGGGAAAGTTACTTTTAAAAGTAATGCATTACAATATTGCGTTACTCCATGAAAAGTTAACTAATTCCGTTACTCAGTTACTTTTTATGGAAAGTAATGCGTTACCCCCAACACTGGTTGTAATGAATTTGCACCTATGGCATGCCATAAGACAGCTTGCAGTTTTTGCGCTTTCTTCCAAGAATAGCGCTTTGATAAGCAACGTCACTACTTCAACTGAGCTGAAGGGCAGTTTTCAACAATATTCTTGCTATTCTCAACTCTGAAAAACCCCCCTTCAGTTCCGTGAATTTTTAACTCAAATACTGCATTGAATCAACAGTATGATAAGACCCACCTGGTGCAAACTGGCTGTCAAAAGCATCCACGACAGGAGTCTCCACATTACTATATTCCTGAGAGAAATGCATTGAAACAAGAAATGTTGTTTGCTACAGGTAGAATCCACAAGCGTTCCCTCGTGGCATCCACAGAGCGTTCAGTGACACGCGCAGATGTGGAGTCTTGCGTTACATCAGTCTGTCAGATTTAGAGGGAGTTTGCTGGAAGTTTTCTTTCAGTTCACCCCAGTTCAGTCTTCAAGGGCGGAGGAATCAAAATAAAGCATCGGAATTATTTAGAAAGCGACATTTTCCAACAGTTTGTATTATCAAATCACTAACATAGAGGATAAATGTTTAGATTTCTCATGTCTTAATTATGTCTTGGCAGTGGCATAATTATTGCATTTGCATGGCATGAAATCGAAGCCAGCCATTCATTCAGAAACTTCACTTACTGTTCAGAGGGAAAATGCAATTGGGGCATTCTTTTATACATCTGAAAGTGTTCATTTAGATCTGAAATTACATTTTGTTTTGCTTTTGGTTTAATGTAGGGGCATGAAAATAAAAAAATATACACAAATGTGCAGGAGAGCGCTGAAACCCATTTGTGCTTTTGAGGTCCTCTTCTTGAATAGCATATCAGTGCACACTAAATCAGTCCAGAGAAATACATGCTATTTTCACAAAAACAACATAAACCAAACAATTTATATTTAAAGAGTGTTCATGCAATGAGGTTTGCAGTCAATGTAAGTTGTTTACTTTAGTGAGGTGTTCAATCTGTTTTTGACTCATTTAAGTCAAAGAATCGGATGATGGATTTTTAATCATGTTAAATAGTCAGGTATTCATTTTTCTAAGCAGAATATTGATTTAAAGAGGAGAGGCAAACATTATTAAAATACATAGTTCATAATCATTTATTACTTGCGTTGCTCTTAACTGCTTGACATTTGGACACAACTCAGCAAGAATTCAAGATAAGAGCAACTGGACAAGGACAGAGAACTTCTGTAGAACTGCCAGGAGCTGAGAATGTATGTGTAAGTATGTAAGTGACCAGACATTGTTGTAATTTAACAGTACTTTTCAATTCTACCTAAAATATACTGTATAGTTACCTAATTTAAAAGGACCTATTTTTACAGTACTTGCATCTACTACAAAATGAAATATATTCACAATATTTTTAAAAAATTAGATTAGAATTTTTTTTATTCATGTAAATAAATGCTATTAATAAAAAAATCATTTATTACTTGCGTTGCTCTTA